ACGCGTGCGTTGCGCGATATTCGTCGTATATTCTCTCCGTGTGAAGCACGCCCCTGCGAATAATTCTCGATCTAGTATTTTTGCGATTCCCTTGGGCTACGCGGGGGCCTCTGTTACGATAGAGCCGTCATTTTGTTCGTTGCATCTATTGGAAAAGGTAGGGCGTTGGGACGTGTGATTTGATTGAAACAACAATAATTAATGGTAGAAGTTTACTTTTTATTAAATAATACGTGAAGGTATATCTTAAGCCGCGTCCCCACTGGGTCGGCTTTTGCCGTTCGGCACGGCCGATCGGCAAAAGCCGAGAATTGCGTCTACACTGCGTCCGCATCTGTCATCTAGCACGGCCGATCGGCACCCTAAGTACTTCTCGGCAAAGCCAAACACTGCATCGTCTTGGATAGCATGGCTTGAAAAGCCGACCGGCATGCCGACGAGTCGATCGGCACGATGTCGGTAACCATCAAAAGAGATCGTGCCAAGACACGAGAGCACGAAAGTTTCATGTCAATTTCGTTCCAAAACCATCATCGAGATACAAAGATACAGGAACTTTAAACGTTAATAACTTTTTAACAAAGCCTCCATCAACAAATTGGTATTCTTTCGCGATCGAACGGAAAATTTCACAGCGCGACGATTGCTACCTCCAGTTCTGAAAGGCCCAGGCAGGGCCATAAAGCCCCGTCTTGTAACCAAATATGGTCATAGGCGAAAGATTTTTTCCTCGTGCCCATATTTTTGCATAGTCGATGTTTCCGGAGCCCGTTTCTTCCTCCGATACGCGATTTTGGGGGTGTCAACCGAATTTGGTATTAACTTTTAGCTCGACCGATTGGTCATCGACTAAGGGAAGGAGGACCCATTTTCACACCCCGTTTGGGAGGAAAACTCTTTCCTCATACCTGAACGTGGTGGAGGAAGACTTCCAGGTCACCCCCAGAACGAGGGTGCCCGAGGTTTTCTCCCCAAGTCGAAGGCTACGTTAATTTATCGAAGAAAAAACGGGACTCCGGATTAGGACGCGACGAGTGGCCGCGCGTGTTTGACAGCTGTTTTATGGCTATACACAACGATTTGCAATTTTTTTTCTCCGTTGAAAAATTTAGACACCTAATTGGATTTTCAGTAAGGAATTTTTTTCTCGAAAGTGCGTACGATTTTGGAGGTATGTGTAATGATAAAAAATGATTGTAATTGATCCCCGCAACCGAAAATAATTTTTTTAGAACGATTTGAAAAATTTTTTTTCGCCGAAAAATTTCAGCACCTACTCGATTTTTTTTCTCGAAAGTAGATAGGATTTCGGAGGTATGTGTACTCACCAAAAATGATTGTAGTTGACCCCCGCAACCGAAAATAATTTTTCCAGAACGATTTGAAATTTTTGAATTTAATTGTTAATAACTTTTTAACAAAGCTTCCATCAACAAATTAGTATTCTTGATTTTCGTCTTATTTTGGCCTCTACTATCGCTCATTAAAATTTTTGCTAGAGGTGGCCGAACACCCTGTATATTCTTCTGCTACGTAAACTCGGACGCATCCAAAATCTTCGTTTTTTAGGCATTTTTTTTGCATTTGCTATTACTATAACTGCAGCAGCACCAGTTATTACTTCGTCGTCACTGTACATTTTTTGTGTACTGAAATGGCTTTGCCGCGGTGCATAGCAGTGGCACGGCCGTGCCGCCTTTTGCCGAACGCTGTGCCGATCGGCAAATGCCGAGCCGTGCCGACCCAGTGGGGACGCAGCTATCGGCAAATGCCGAGCCGTGCCGATCCAGTGGGGACGCAGCTTTAGAGTTCCGTACCTCTGTTACTAGACTAGCGACGAACTCTTATCTTTGTATAATAAACACCATGAGTTCGTAGAACCCATGGCCAGAACTGAAAGCGAAACTCCAGACATACTACTGTGTCGAAAAAGTAAGATGACTTTTCAATTTAAATTTCACGGCTTTATCCAAACTGATAAACTTCTTTTCTGTAGCTTGGTAGCTCTGTTTCTGTCATCTATTTCAAATTTCACGTCACTATCTTCAGTTGTTTTTGAGATACGCTTGTTTATTCACAACAGTAAAAGTGCATTCGGCGATTTTGATCAAAGTCACGTCGATGAAATCAAAAAACTAGTGCTACAAAATCGTCAACTGACAATAAGAGACCTTTCAGACACTGTTGGCATTTCAAAAGGGTCAGTGAATACCATTTTAAAAGATGTTTTGGGCTTGAAATGTGTCAAGTCTCGATCGGTACCGAAAGCACTGAATTTGTTCGAAAAAGAGCGTCGTATTAACATCTGTAAAGAGATGATTTTCAACTATGAGCCAGTCGTGAAACACATCATTACGGGAGATGAGACTCGGATCTATGCCTATGATCTGGAAACAGCTGACCAATCGAGCGAAAATCGTGCTAAAGGTGAAGAAAGACCGAAAAAATCACACCAGAGTCGTTCAAAAATCAAAGTTCATGTTAACAGTTTTTTTCGATTATCGTGGTACGGTGCACCATGAATTCCTCCCGACGGGCCAAACTATTAATAAGGAATACTATTTAAGTGTTATGCGTCGTTTGCGTGAAGCTATTCGCAAAAAGAGGCCGGATTTGTGGCGAAGCAACTGTTGGTTTTTGCACACTGCGTTGATTATTCGCGATCATTTGGCCAAAAATTCAACTCATATCGTTCCACAGGCAGCGTATTCGCCTGATTTAGCACCATGCGACTTCTGGTTATTCAGTAAACTCGAAAAACCACACCGGGGACACCGATTTGAGACTATTGAAGAGACTCAACGTGAATCGCTGCGCGCTTTGAAGACCATTCCAGAAGAGGACTTTTTCAGCTATTTCGAGGAATGGAAAAAATGTTGGCATAAGTGCATTATGTCGAATGGGGATTACTTTGAAGAGGATGAAATTGATTTGAAAGAATAAATAAAGATTTTTCATTTTATAACAAATGTCCTTATCACCTTATTTTTTGGACACAGTAGTATACAATCGTCACTGGAGATAATTTTTGTAACAGCGTGAGACGGTTAGGAAATCCAACAGCATCGTCGCGTAAAATTGTCTAGTCTTGTAATAAACCTCGGTGCAGCGTGGTTGAATCGCACGCGAGTATGGTTAATGAACGATTCGACTCGAAAAACAGTGCGCTGTTTCCCTGGTGTTCACGATGGATCGAGAGTTTGACTGCTCCGGGCAACGATGGGAAAAGTTGTGCGCGCACGGAACGAACGAAAAACAGAGGCCTCGGGCCAGCGAATACGGAATGCATTTGCCAGATTAAAACGCCATTGAAGTGCATCTAGATGCCTGTAAATATGCTTGCTGAAGAAGAGAAGGAGAGAGAGAGAGGGAAAGACCGACGAATGAAATTGGATTCACGATTCCGCGCGAACTCAGACTGTACAAACGTTTCGCCAAGGTTCTACGGTGCGCGCAAACATCGGAAGAAAGATGGGTCCATTCGGAGGAATAATCAGGAAAGCTCGCGTAATCATTTCGCGACGATCGAGTAGTCTCTGAGCGCAATCTAACCGGAGCTGCACCTACGTAGTTCCGCCCTTTAAATCCGCGCACGTGATGCCTCCGACTAACGACCCACTCGGGGAGCCAAAACGTGTCTCTTGAATTAAGCACCGTTCGCCCGTACATTTCAAAGGGGATCCGAAATTACCTCCACGCGATGAATAATTCAGATAACGAAATATATTTGTCCGAGGAATTTTTGCTCGTGTATAGACCGCGCTCGGGCCGATTCCTCGCCGCAGGAGTTCCTCCCGATTTCTCCGTACAAACGTTCCAATGAAAGAAATTGGTCGAAACGACGGCGAGCCGTCTCCATTTTCGAAGGGTCGCGTAATTAAATTCCGTGGCCTTCCATCGCGAACGACACCTTTCCACCGATCGTCGCGTTTATCGTCCGCTTCCTGTTCGCGGGAATCGACTACCAAGACGCGAATGGTGTAGGTAGCTTCTCGTAGAGAAATGTTAGGTCAGCTCCCAGGAGGCTCCGAACAATCGAACGAAAGACGATGTTCTTCTCGAGAACCTTCTTGGCGTCGATCCTTCCCGGTTCGTGTCCCTCTGCCCTTCCCGATGAATCATTTTCAATCTATTTCCCTGGTTTTTGCAGAAACGTCGCTTCTTACGAGACTCGAACGAGGCTCTTTGAAATATTCGATACAGAGCGAAGCACGCGACCCGGGACAAAGGTTTCCATCGTTGCGGGGGGAGGGGATCAGTGGTTGATTAATGGAGTTCTTGCTGCGACCGATGTACAACCGACGGATAAAAATTAAAGAGAGGGAGCTCGGTGGAATTGCAACGCTTCCGCGAAAGTACGATCGATTAATTGGAGTTGTCGAGCGTCCTGATCAGCCGCTTGTCGTTCCCGTTGTTTAATCGTTTTTTGATGGCGGTTCGGAACTGCTTTTCCTACCGAGTCGATAGATTCGTCAATTACGGCGACTCGTTGTTAGATTTGAATTCCTTCCGTTCGTTAAACCAACACATATCCGACCGTACATACTTCAGCGACTGGATGCAGAATTTGCAAGTCCGTCGAAATTTTATCCGTACATATAATCAAGATCGAATGCTTTGCCAGTTTACGACTTGCAAGACCATTCTCTACGAGAAGCATAAAACTCTAAACTTACTACGGGATTCCTCGACGCGATTTCCGCTCGAGGAATCCCGTAGTCCAGTGGCTAACCCGTGCAGCCAAACGTATTAGCATGCGATGAAAATTTACACACGATGGTAGAAAAATCTGCTAAACGAGTACAAAGTGTTATAAATAATTGGATTATTAAGCTATTACCGTGGTAGAAGGTTTGTTTTTTAAATATACCCCGATCGAAGCCGGGAAGCTCGATCGGGCGATAAATCGTGCAACCGATCATTTCTCTCCCGACAAGCTACAACTGTCGCATTTGTTCCAGGCTCTTTTCTCAATTCGCATTCCATGTTCACTGTTGCAGACTCGTAAACCAGGAATACACGTACGCTGCGCAGACAAGATCGATACAGGCGATAGGGATAACGTTCGAAAATCGTTCTGGCCAGGAAGCATCGTAACTTTACATCGTCCCTAATTGACAGGCTGGAAGAGGGCCGTAGGAGCGGAGGACCGAGAAGAAGGGACGCGATACGCGTACATCAAGAAGAAGGAGGGAAGGGGATAGTACGGCGGGCGAGCGTGGCGGAGAAGGAAAAAGTCATTGGGGGACGAGAGGGGGAAAAGGAGAGAGATCTTGGTTCGAAATTTACGAGTGAGCAGGTTTGCTTGCACGTCTAGGAGCCAAGCTCTGGTATCTTGGGGCGGTCGTGTGCACCATAACAAATGGTCCACCCGTAAAACCGGCTTACCTTGGAACGACACCGGAAGTAGACGCCGGATTTCCGTGATGCGCCGTGGAAGATTCGCAGACGTTTTAGCCGGGCGAATATAAAATTCCGTGTTGGGCTGGTATATCGACGTTTCCCTCGAAAACTTTGAGAATCGTTCGAAAGTCCCCTCGACCGAGCTATTTACTCGTCCTCGTAGACCTGATTCCTCGGGATCGCGATATGGTCTCGAACGAGCAACGCCGGCAACGAGCGTCCTGGATCGTTACACGAACGTAACAATGTCGTCCGTTCCGTCGACGCATCGGTAAAAGATCCGAGCCCTGGATACGATAAAAATTCTCCCAGATGGGTTAAAAACGATCGCGATGGACAGCGCGACCCTGTGCTGCTGCTCGCAAAATGGTGATCGTGCTGCCCTCCTGGAAACGCAACAAGTGGCGATCTGCTCTTTATTCGTAAACTATCATCGATGTCGTCCGACAGACGGGACAAGGGATTCGATCCAGGACCCGGTCTAACATCGATCTGAGGATCGAACAGAGCGAGAGGATCGCTTCGAAGCGATCGAGGAGCCTCGTCCTATCAAGAGAACAGAAATTTACACGTTCGAGCGAACGAAAGAAACAGAGAGGAGCTTTTTACGCGGATCTCGTTGACCCAGGCTCGCTATTGACCCGCGAGGAAGATACGTTCGGGGAAATACAGTCCGCGACTATGAGCAGAGCCGAAGCTTGGCGAGAGAATCGTGAAAGGACTTTACAGGAGCCACGGACGATTGGATTTGCCGCGTTTCGATCGCGTTTCCACAGACTAAGAAGAAAGATCGGAGACTAATCTGAGAGGCATCGCGCGTCGTCGGATGAGACGATGGTGATGAAGATTTCCGCGGTCGAGGCTGGCGTTCCTTTATTAAGCGTCGTCGGTCCCCGCTGCGTCGTTAAGCAGGCCACGGTCAAGCGATGCGTCGCGGCGCTACTCCTCGTATCAGTCGCCAGCATATTCTATTACACGCACTACATCATCAGCAGTCCATTAGCAAGGTGAGCTTTGCCAACTTTTAGTATTTTTTTATTTTTCAGAATTGTCCAAGGGTGCTCGTTCTATTGAAAATTTTCCACGATATCGGAACTCGAACGATAGTCGTTTTACCAAAAATAACAGTACGGTTGCCGTGAAGCGTGTTGAGATATTACAATGTCTATCCTCGACCGTTATAGTTTTCTTATGTATGTGTGTGCTGGAACGTTCTCGTCGATATATCGATCGGGGAACCATGCAGACGGAAAGTCCACGTTAGGTTTTTGTTTTCTAAAAATGTGTTACCGGGCGGCTGCAGCGTGGCACGCGCCGGCAGTCCTTCCAGAGCCTCGAATGTGAAATGATCACGGTCTTTATTTTCTTTATATAATTAAATCAAACCTTTTACCTTTCGGTTCATTTATTTAATATCCTAACCACAATAAAGCGTATAGCGTACTCGTGGATTCGTGGAAATTCTGAATTAGCGCGTTTCGAAATTGGCGAGAATCGAATCAAATTAAATGCGTTTCGATGAAATCATTCACGATCGATCACTTCGCAAAGCTAAATGACAGACCGGTTCGCGTGTGTATAGCTTTCGCTTGTTCGCGAACAGATTGCTTGTTTGCAGATGTAACTTTTTCGTTACTCTCGGCGGATTAAGTAAAACACATAGTCGGCGAAACCTGCAGGAACAATTTAAACGTAAATGTGTCGCAAATATCGTGACTCGTTAATCTGATCGCAGAGTTTCATGCCTGCGGGTAATAAAATTATGTTTGCCATACACGAAACGGCCTGTTATGCGTAATAGATGAGATACACATACGTAACGGAGACTTTCGCTAATTGCCTAAGAGCAATTTACGAACGGGCCGCGGAATAAGAATTGCCAAACAACTCGCGATAATAAAACGTACCGTAAAGAGTGTTTCGAAAAATTCAACGAGCCGGGGGGACGTTGCATAAAATTTGAATTTAAAATCGTCGTAATGTTATTTCGAAGCGAGATAGAGAGGCGACGTAAACTCAAGTTGAAGTTTCGGCTTCAAATATGCACGAAGCAATTTCCTGTCGCGGAATTTTCGACTTCTTTCCCGTCGCTTCTTATCCATTTTTACGGATGGTACGCGGACCAAAAATTTGGCTCAAGAACATTCGACGCGATACGTTAGACCCTTGTTTTCTAAACGTTGTGATGTTGTCGATCGATCAGCACTACGATGCACTCTAAAAGCTTTAACGGTAATTGCGAGTCAGCGGACAATGAACGCGTTAGAAAGGAACGTTTCCGTAGTCTAGCGGAACTCGCGATACAACAATCACGATACGGGATAATCCCGTGTTTTAGACGGGATCTAGAAACGGACGTTGCGTTTCCCCTTAATGCAACCGGTCCAATTCCAATTTTACCCGATTTTCGGTGGCATTCTAGGGCCACAGTTAATTAGAGAAGACGAATAACCCCACAGGCCGAATGGCGACCGGCGATCGGAGGAGGCGTTCGCCTCGACTCGATATGGCCCCCAATCTCGCTCACTCGGATAACCAGACAAGGCAATGGGTTCGCGAACGCCCTCCATGGTCGTCGAATCCGACTTTGGACCGTGTATATACGACGTCCTCGAAATCCAACGTTATTTCGTGGCAGCGTAATTACGTTGCGCCAAATTGTTGCTGCCAGTTGTTTGACTGCGCGCGGTTTCCTCGGGGACCTATGTATGTCTTAATTGCGCGGTAATATTACCGAGCAAAGCTACGGATAGTTCCTGGTCAGGATTCAAAGTTAATCACGCCCCGGGATGTGTTTGCTAATGATCGCGACACGATGTTGGAACATCGCGTTTCTAATCCAAGCCCTTTTCTCAATTCTCCTCAACCTCGATATTCGAAAGTTAGGCAAAGGAGGTCTTGCTTTGCGATCCTGATCGTAACAGCTAGAAATTTGATTATTGTGTATCGTGTCCGCTGTAACTTACTTTATCGAAAAATTAGTTATACAGGGTGTAAACGATAACTTTGGCAAAAATCATAGGGTAAGTAGAGGCCCCATAGGCAAGTATTTTGAGCATGGGAACCCGTGTCCGGAAATGCACCAGTAAAGAATTACGGCGATCTTTAATTTTGGTCTTTCGCGCCTGATGGGTAGGCAAACTTTTTTTAGTTTATTGTTTCTTGACCATGATTTCATTAAATGTTTACGTTGTTCATCGTAAAACTTTCAATGTTTGTCATCTTTGTCACCTACACGACTGACCCACCTCAAAAGAAACAGTTTCCAGTACGATGGGTTTTCTATCCATCAGGAGCTAAAGACCGAAGTTAAAGATCGCCGTAATTTTTTACTGGTGCATTTCCGGACACGGGTTCCCATGCTTAAATTACTTGCCTATGGGGCCTCTACTTACCCTATGATTTTTGCCAAAGTTATCGTTTACACCCTGTATTTGTGAAGAAATTACCTCCTAAATATCCCGTACGTTAAACGAGTGTAAGTCAACCTTTAGGTTTGTAATGAGTGCAGTTATATGATGTGAGAGTTTCGATTAAAGGCATTGCCGACTATGTGTGTGTGTTTCGCGTGAAGTATGCATTTAGAAGTTGTTCATTTTATTAGTTAATCGTTTGTTAATAATAATTTAGTTAGTTACGTTCGAGTCAGCTTTCTGTACAAACCATTGAATTAAGATATTAAAGGGAAAATATCTAAAATATATTACACGAGTTAAACTGGAATCAGAAATACGGGGTGTCTCAGTATCTATCGGCGGTACAATCGGAAAGGAGGTGATTCTACATGAAGAAACAAATTGAAAATAGAATATAAAATTATTTCATTTGAGGTTTCGTTGTCCAGAAAATAAACTGTGAATATTCACCTGAGTATAACTATGGCTTAGATAAACAGATTTCAATACTTTAGTTATGTTTTTTGTACTTCTGTACACTCACGTTGACATGATTTCCTGAGCACGTATCGTAATTTTATTTCTTGTTTTAGTATGTTATTCAATTTTGACTAATCAAGGTCCCCATATTTAACACTCCTTGATTTGTATCTATTTGTATCTAAGAAGACTATTTTATGCACTCCTCGATTAAAAGCGAGAATCATTTGGCATTTGAAGAATTGAAGATACAGAATACGTTAGAATCCATTAGTTCCTACAAATCTAATTTAGAGAGTTGTATATGTAGCACAATGGGGAATTTTTAACAATTTCTGTATGAATTCAGTTAGTTTAATAAGTAAATTACACGACTTATTTTCATTAAAATCTACTTTAAATCTATAAACAGAGGTAACACAGTACTTCATGTTGATACTAATGATATTGGTGCTATTTGTATCGAGATCAATTCACAATTGATTTTCTCGACAAAGAAACCTTAAATAAAAAAATTTCATTCTTTATTTTCGATTTGTTTTCTTATCTAGAATCACCTTCTTTTCGGTTGTACCATCGTTGCTGAGACACCCTGTATATACATACATGTTTTTCGCTGTACTCGACTCCTATGTCGAGTGTGATTCGACATCAATTTTTATCCCAGGAGCTCCTTCGTCAAGTCCCACTCAACATTTTTTCAAGTCCAAACCAAAGAGATAACGTACACTTGAAAATTACAAAATACAACAGTGTAAATAAAACAGATATTTTAACAGGTAAATTTCAAATAAAACACTTAAAAGCGTTGGGAGCAGCTGGTAACAAAATTGAAATATAATTCGGGGTGCAATGGGGGGTTACCATCGGCAGATTGTGTCGATCGTCTACTCGGATCCGGATAATTGATCACATTTACCCTACCGAAACCATAGGTACACAAGCCTTTCTGTTAATTGATATAGTGCTTTGCCCCGACATGGATCAATCTTAATAGGTAACCTATGACCGTTCTGCAACCAATTGTAGGTTCAGGGTACACCGTCGTCAATCACGAAACCTAATACTCTCGCGTGGACATTGACATGTAATTTCACATCGAGGTTGCCGGGCCACTGGTCTGCCTCTATACCCTTCGAGACAGACGCTCGATGATACTCGGAATCGCTCCAAACGAAACAGGCCCAAGTTTCGCATCGATTACCATGAAAAGCGTCTACTCGAACGATCGAACATAAATCGAATATTTTTCATTTTCGCTCTGTCTACGAAGTTTAATCGAATAATATAGCCGACGGTCGGTGTTTTTAATTGTACCATACGAAAGACGCGGTATATTTATCAGTCACGGATCGATAACGAATGGTGATTGCTTAGAGGGAATTATAGTTTCCTAAAGGCTAGAAAGATTTATAGCTCTACCGTCGTTATCGCGATCAGGGAACACGTTGCTTGTCTCCGTTTAGCTTTCGTGTCTGGGAAAATTGATATGCTCAGGGTGATCTTTTCCGACACGATTTCTTCTTTTGCAAGCGATTCGTATTTTATCGATTCGAAGTTTTGTACAATTTAATTCCGTTACGGTCGAGACGAAAAAGTATACGATGAATAAGCGTCACCCCGAGAGAGAAGCACAGAGAACGTCTGCTCGAAATTAAATGGGAGGGAATCGGAGCGATCGCAGTCGCGCGAAGAAATTCGCTGGTTGATCGTTTGTTAGGACGTGAACTGTGCTTTGCACCGAGTCGAAAGAAGCACATTCTCGATCGTGGGACGCGAAATGCGGCCGGATGTTTGTCCAAGGTCCAATCAGAGCCAATTCTTCTCCTCTCGAGCAGCCTTACAGCGGCGCTAAGCTCCAACTGCAGACGCATGTCGTCGTCCCTTCCTTTCTGGCAGCCACGCGCCTTCTGCATGACGCATCCTTCCGAGGTTGTCTTCGTTCGCCCACCGACCTACCGTTAAACCAACTCCAAATTGCACAGTAAATAGGAAATGCAGACGTACCATTTAATATACAGGGTGTTCGGCCAACCCTGGGAAAAATTTTAATGAGGGATTCTAGAGGCCAAAATAAGACGAAAATCAAGAATATCAATTTCTTGACGGAGGCTCCATTAAAAAGTTATTAA